AATTCTACGTTGGTAAAAGTCAGGGAAATAGTCCCAAAATTGAACAAGTTGAATTTTGTTTGTAAGCCTAAATGTACGGACTATAGCATTGTATATATATGTGAGACTTTGGTACAGTTAAATATATGAATAAAGGAACACAAAATGTATGGAAAATATTCCGAACTTCTAGGAAGATATTGGTAAATTTGAAAATTGATCGATGTTAGGAAAATATTCATTGGGAAAAGGATATAAAATCGATCTCAAGAGAACATATATATAGTCTTCAAGTAGAAGTTTATACTGATGTCGTTCAGAAGAACGATGGATGCTTCACGACCAAACCATCCAGATCCGAGGAAACTTCATCAAAATCACCCACCTCCAAATCACATGAGCGTAGTACGCTTTTCGTTATTCGAAAATAGATGTTCGCCAAAAGGTAGGCTTCCACTCGAAAACAACTGTATTTTCTCCACGAGTGTTTTCGTCAGTATGTTCTATCAACAAGTGTAAGATATAGATCTCCAATCAACTGCCCCATGTGATGGAGAATAGTTGAGCAAAGTGGAAGAAAAATGGTACACCTAATGTTAACTGATGCACACTACAGGATCCACAAACACCATTACACCATAGAGGACCGAAAGAAGAAGCTACAAAGGATACTCACATTAGAACATTTGAGAATCTTCACAACGGTTATCGAAATATCATGAAAACGACACAAAGAATAATAACAGTGTACCTTCATTTGTTTTAATCAGTCGTTGAATTTGTGTATTCCTTGAATAACCAGTCTCTTTAACAGAGCGCAAACATAAACGTATTTATTTGTTTGTATTTTGTGAATATTTAGATAAGCTTGACAACTTTTATCTCTGTCTGTAGCCCACTAGGGGCATCAGAACTGAATAAATCGACATAAATTTTTCTTTAACTTCAACACAATAACAATATAGGAACAATAACGGGGTGGATTTGCAAGTATATAGCATACAATTCTCTTTGAGCCTAGCACACAACGTTAGAATCATGCACTGTCCCATCGCCCTTGACAGATCAGGCAACTCAAAAGTTATGAGAAAACCATCAGGGCATACGACAGTCTAGCTACCCCAATTTCAAGAAACAAAGAATATTCACACTTTAAAACGTTTAATCTCAAATTTTCTAAGATGATTGAACAGTCGTTTAATAAAACAGTTACATTGAAACTGTATTTGTATTTCATCACTTTGATTTTATATCAATCCCTTGAGAAAGATCAGATTAGAGTAATGAAGGAAACCCTGAAGTTAAGCGTTCGCGTGCGAGACTGATAGGTCCTGAGTTCGAATCCCGTGAGGCGGGATCGTGAATGTGCACTTCTATGGAGTCCCACAATAGGACGAAATGGCTGTCAAATGTTTCCAGGTTTTCCATGATGATCTAGCTTCAATTGACTCATGCTCTCAACCATTAAATATAATTTCCATTTAAATATGTTTCACATATTCGATGTTAGATATTGTCAATACTTAGATGATAAGTATACTTTGCATAGCATACCATCTACTCATATAATATCATGATAACAAATTAATAGGTTTATTAAGAGATCATGTGTTACCATGGTACTATTTATTGATAAAAGATTGAAATAAATGTTGATTAATCTAGTTGAAGAGATCAACTATTCATGAAACTGGAAAACTTATTTCTTACAGAATGAATCATAAAAGAAAATAGAAATTATTTTTACGAGGAACAAAAGTATCAATAAAATTGGCATCAATCTTGACTGTATTAACTGATTACTCCGTTCTATATATACGTGTGTGTGTGTGCTGACAGAAACATGTAAATATGTAAATACAGTGAGATATGATACAATCATCAGCGTGTAGTGTGGCGTCGAGTCGCCGTTGACTATGATCACTACTACAGGAAGACTACGTGCCAGTTAACCGATAAGATCCCTCATAAGCCAAATAACAGAAGGCAGTTGATGGCTGTAGTCGAGATGTATTCGTTGGCGATCTCGTGGTATCGAAAGAATATCGAGATCGTGCCAGGTTACAAGTGTGGTTACTGAGCGTACGCGAGTGCGTGAAAGGTCACAGTCAACGGAAGAAGGTATGTTTTTAGTACAGTTAAACAAACAAGTACAGTAAAACAATCACTGGTACAATTGGTTATAATAATAATTGTTTCCATAACACCAATCGCGTCCTCTTCATATAAGTAGGTCACTACAAGCGCAACGTATAGGATTATGTGAAATCATAAACTTGGTCTCCTCAGAAGGTTTAACGTAGGTAGTATGCACCTGAGAGGCATAAATGAAGATGATAATAATAACAAGTAGTTAAATGCTTATTTATACAAGCTAGTAGTTTCGGAATTCATATCTTAAAGTGAGAATGTCACAATTATATTGGGATGTAGTTGTAAAATCTTACTGTGATCAATCTATAGGATTCAGAAGGGTTTACTAAATTTGTATTCAGATTGTTTTCGTTCAGAAACCTTAATTATTCTAAAGGATGACTTCATGAAATACTACAATTGGTTTTCGCATGTTTAAATCATTCCTAATTGGATCTTCTATTCTCTCATCAAGGTACAAGGCAGTCAATCAAAAGTAGGATATGCATTTACTTCATACCACTCAATATATCGGTTAGGATGAGTTACGGGGCTACACAAATACCTCACAGTAGTAAAAAAGGTTTATTTAAAGTTACAGTTAACTCATATCTTGTGTATATATAATTTACTTCTATTGTAGTAATCAGCTTGAATCACTTTCAAAAGTAAGTAGATTCGACTACCATCAAATAGTTAAACCACAATTTCTGCTTGAGAAAGCTACAGAGGTCATACAACCTAAAGATCGAATGCCCATACTGTTGACAAGTCATAACAAGGATAAAGTAGTTATACAGTTTACTTTGGATTCCAATAGTTGCTTGATGAAACTCAGTCTTCTTTCAAAATGAAGAATCTGCAAAAACACTCTGAAGTTTAAATAAGCAACTACGACTAGTGTAGTTTAATCTGTCTAGATTAAAACAGTTATCAGTGATAGCTGTCATAGATAATCACGAAGTATTAGTAACTGATTGATGTTAGAAAAGTTGACCACTTTATATCTGTTAAATCTAGAGCTTAGAGTCGTATTATATCGCGTACCACTTGAGCACTCAAACACTAGAACCCTCTAAGTCGCAAGCTAGAAGACAAAAGACAAGTGAATGGAATGCTATTCCAAACAGTGTCAATTATCGTACGAAACTCTCAGGTATTTATGGTTTTTAGTATAAACGAAATCATCATTATAGTCCTCCTATCGGCATACAAGGGGTTTTTATCATTTGTCCAATAGGGATACTACACGTAGGGATTCTGGAATATCCTTCCAAAAAACGATCCGATGGGATATCTTCGGATCTTTCTCAGCTTCTTAGAGCTTTCTTGAGTTCTCCTGTGGGCCGTCTTCACAGTACCAAATCACTGATATAATAATCACACATTTTTTTCAAGGGCTTAATGCTCTTCATCCGAACGGTGACTGGACTGTTGATTCTGGGAAGCCTCGTATTAGGACAAAACAGCTATCTAGTACTCCCTTATTTTCAATGGTTCTCTAGATAAGTCATTACATTTCGTGACTGATTTATTCATAAATTATGTATTGCTGTACATGGTCGACATTTGATAAAACAACCTACCAACCACTGAAATTTGTCGGATTGTAGACTAAAAATCGTATAAATAAAATTTACACAAGTATGAAGCTATATATATCTGAACGGAACACGGAATACAATGGATAGATCGGAATCAATTACAGGATTTGAACTTCACAGAGGACATGGCCCTACTATCTCATACACACTAACAAATGCAGATAAAGACAACTAGTGTAGCAGCAGACTATGCGTTAGTAGCCCTCAACATACACAAGGGAAAAACCATGATCCTCAAAGAAAACGTGAAGAATACCAGCACGATAATATTTGATGAAGAAACTCTGGAAGAGGTGGGAACGTCCACGTACCTGGTCTGCAGTATTATTGATGATCGACAAGGCAATGACCGAATTCCTACCGTTGTACAACATAAGGAACTCAAAACAAATGTCAACCAATATAAATGTCATAATCTTCAATAAGAACATCAAAACAGTTCTACTATGTGGAGCTGAAACTTAGAGAACTAACACAAACCTACTCAATAATGTACAAATATTTCGAAAGAATTGTCTACACAAGATACTGAATATTCGTTGACCGGATAACATAAGCGACATTCTACTGTGGGAGAGAAGAAACTACGTTCCAGCTGAGGAGGAAATTAGGTTAAGTCGTTGGAGGTGGATATGACACACCTTTGTGAAATCAACAAACTGTATGACGATGCAAGCGTTAACTAGGAATCCTGAAAGGAAACTGATAAGTGAAAGACCATAGAACACAATGCATCGAGAATCGTAATCAGGCATGAAAAGGATGAATAAGAATTGGAATTAATTAAAAACGGTTGCTCAGGTCAGTGTTGTATGGAGAATCCTGTTAAGCGGAATACACTGCTCCATCAGAGGTAACAGGTGTAATTAATGAAGCCATATGAAGAATAAAAACCCGATTCATCAATGCCTAAGTTATCTGTAAATCAAGCAAATAATATCGAGTGTGGTTTTTTTTATTTGCCTATCGTATCACTATAGATTCCCCTAGAAATTACTCATTTCTGATACCATTTTCATAGTAAATAATCTTTCTTTTTGTTGTTGTTGTTGTTGTTGATTTATCTAACATACTTGTTTAAACAGAATCATTGCCAATTAAATAAACTCGATTCCGGTAACCATCTGATTAGCCACAGCAACTATAATAGACTACTTAAGTATAAAATAACTGAAATACACGCACACGCACACACGCACACACGCACATGTACACACATACACACACACACACACTCAGATGATTAGAAATGTACTAACACTAATGATTGTTAGTAAGTAATTTACTTATCAAAGTGTTAACTATACACACATATTTACTATTCAAGTATTTGTTATACAGACATGCCTACTCACATTGGATACACTCAATGTAGTTCATGATATCTAATTATATTGATAATGTATATCTACATTTCTATATAGATTTATACAATAAATGAATGTTACATACCTAATGTAGGTTGATCATCATATGATTATTAGAATCTGATGATTTGTTTGTTATTTTGTTTGGAATTCATTTTATGTATATAAATCAAATCACGAATTCTTGAATCATTCTATACATCGTCTAACTTTAGTTCTTCAATTCATTCAACACTTCAATACTTCAATCCTTTGACAATGTCAATAAATCAATTAACTCAAGAACAATGGGATGATCTATTTCATAAATATCAATCATTACGTGAATCTAATAATATTGCATGGGATGATATCAAAAGTGCATTAGAACTTGTTGGTGTCTCTTTAGCTGGTCATGAAATAAGAGATTTATTAGGACAACAAAGAAATTGGCTTAATCCAGATGAATTTCATGAATTATATAAAAAAGCTAAAGATATGAAAGATACAACAAAAGCTATCAGTAAAGCATTATTATTAAAACATGCTGAAGATGTAAAGGTATGTTCTATTCTTTGTATATATATATATAATCCATTGTTAGCGTTATCATTTGAAGATGAACTATATAATCTTGAATAGAAAGTGACAGATAAAATATTGTATTAAATAAATATTAGCGAAATGTTTAAGGATCTAATCTATAACCTAACTTAACCATTCCTATGAATCCGGTGTTCATCTTGTTGTGCTAATGTGGTATGGCAAACCTGGACCGATGCATATATGTGCCTGGTCTTATGTTGTAGCTGACTGACTGACTGACTCACTTTTAAAGAACATAGCTAACATATATTCTACCAATTGACTTACTTCCATGCCTTGGAAGTGATCGTTTTTAATACGGAATATACTCCAGATAAGGTTTAAAGAATTGAGAGAAAAGTAGTTCTATCCTTGAACATTTCAATAATTTTAACTACTCAACTAACTAAATGATAATCAAGAATTGTCATGATTATTATCTCCATAATAGGAGATTTCATATAAGTCGATTCATGATAAATAAACTAAGTGATCCATTGTAAACAAACGATAATGAGAATACAAAGAGAATGATTCTATTCTTAAGATATATCTTTTGTAACTATGGTATGAATTAACTTTGATAGTTAATTCTTATATTCGTATTGTTTGACATAGAAAATGATTAGTACAGTATAGAATTCTCAGCACAAAGTATTTCAGCACGTTTCCCATTTTGTTACTTCTTTGTCGATCTTGACGATAACATATTGAAGCAATTAGTACCTTTGATAAATTTCGATCATGTAATAAGAAGACGAAGATTATCAGAACTATGTGATGATATATTAGCGCAATACACTTCGAACAATCTGATCACACATAAGATACTTGTTAAGAACATTTATATATAAAAATAAAAGGTCAACTAGACTGGGAACGGGGTAAGAGGAGATAAGGATAATGATAAGAGTAATAATAATAATATGAACACAATTCGAAACCTAATCACTCTGGATAATCAGTCAATATTACCAGGGTAGGTTTAAGGTAAGAACAAACTGTTTTGAACACACAAAGGAAGTTTGAATTTTCGTATGGCTAAGGCTTCAGTAAACCTTAGTCTACGCTCTTTTACACTTTTATACAACACTACAAAAGCTGGATTTAGATCAATCTTGTGACCTGTTTCAATTATATGTTTAGCAATAGAGGATGATGGATGTTTATCCTCTGCTCTTATTGGGTCACTTGATTGTATTTGTTTCTGCAGCCATTTGGGTACATGTTCACTCATCCTAATGTTAAGATCACGATTGCTCCTCCTTATGTATGTGTGAACACACACACACATTTAAATGGGTAAATACTATGGGATGTGACACAATCGTTTACATGTCTTTTAGGTTTTGAATGAAACATCCACCTTGTCCTTTCTTTGATAATGAGCTTTGCTGCGCAATAACATGTTGATTGATCGCTAGTTGGACGTTAGCATTTCAGTCCGTCGACATCTAAATAATGTACACTTATTTTTTTTTTTTGCTGCCTATTTTCAATTATCACGATATCTCTGACTGTACTCTTTGATAACTTGTACAACAAAACATTGTAAACATTTTCACATACGTATCTGAATAGGTTCTGTGATGAATAGCCGTAATGATATAACTTGTTAAAATATCTAGATAAATAACAAGAATAGGTAGCCCAGATATTCAAGCAGGTTGCCAATTCTTTTCGCTTTATAATAGCATGAAGCGGCAAATTTATCTGAATATTCTTCTACATTTCTATGAATAATTTAACACAAATCAAACACTGAGTATATAGAAGACCCTATTTGTGTAGATTAGATTGCGAATCATCTCAGCGATTGTCATTCAAATGATGGAATCTAACATCAAAATAACTTAAATTCAAATTGTTGAGATTATTTCAAAGATATAAGGGATATATGGTGTTAAAATGAATAATAAATCTATCGTTTAGATCAATAGAAGGTACTATAGAGTTCATCTTAATATATCTATATACGTTGCTTTTGGCAGATTGAACTGTGGTGCGTGCTACTTATATTGACATGAGTAGTATATAACGCGAGTCAGGAATATCATGTCTGGCAGCAGAAGATTGGGACTATTATATTGACTAAGTTTAATACATAATTAAAAGTTTCTATCAATTTGTTTATGTTGATGTTTGTACAGTTTAATTTGTGTTCAGTTCAATGAAATATATCAATTAGAAAGTTCTATTGTATACTTCATTCAACATCTTCAGTTATTACTACTTGTTAGTAGTTCTAAGTAAACTTATTTAATACAATTTTTATTGCATGGTCAACTTCTTTAATATGATAATGATCCGTATAAATATTCATGTAGTCTTGGCAACTTAAAATATTCACAGTCTAGAATTTCTAAACAAACCAATCAGATTTCAAGAAGTAAATCTTGGATTTTGGCGCGAAATTCATTCATTTGATTAAATACCATTTTGACATTTTAGTTGATGTTAATTCGTAATGAAAACATGAAGTCTAATTGCTAACCCTAACATTAAACTGTAAATCTTAATCTTAATTTTTCATATAACCCTTATAAAACTGTATTAACAAGCTGAACATTCCAATGTCATTTTAACATTACTCTATGGTTATCTGTGAATGATACTTTGACCTTGTCAACTTTAAGTTATGCAATAAGAAAAAGACTTATGCCAATTATATGAGTAAAAATGTGAATAAACAATTGAGAATTTTATGTTTTATATCGGGATCGTGGATGAGCACTGCTGAGGAGTCCCATACTAGGACGAGACGCCCGTCCAGTGCTTCCAGGTTTTCCATAGTGGTCTAGCTTCAATTGACTTATGATTTCAACTTATATAACTTTTATCCAAATGAAAAATAGATGACAAATGAATGAGTGAATATATTTCAAGTCTTGATATAGATGTAGATGTGAATAGGGAATAGTTTTCTTCTCTCTACCCCACTTCGTACTCACGAGTACTAGCTTCAAAGTTAGGTCGGTTAGCCTATCGCACCAAGGTCTTAATCCGGATTAGATAAGTATCCTCAGCACCAAAAGTGGGTAAACAGTCCAGGGACATAACAGATATATATACATATACCATTAGGAAATTAAGTGTATACTTTGTATATGATAAAATAAATGGATTACATAGTGTTGTAATAGAACATAGTTTTTGAACAAATGGTTCCAACGAACATTTAGGAAGTTCTGGTATATATTCAATAAAATTCGAGGAACTTATTTAGATAGGTCATGTTTGAATCGTCAATAAAGTTATACCTTTTCCATATATATTCAATAAATGTCAGCAATAACACATCTAGTATGAGAATAATCATATATTGGCTGAAAGATAATCATTACATTCAATGAAATTAAAACACTATCTTAACTATTTCCATTGTCTCGGAATTTGCTGTTTCTTCATTTCCATATCAATCACTCTCTGTCCTTGTACTCTTCCGTTCGATTTTCTCAACTTTTTGCTGCCAGGTATCCCACATTCGATTGATGATATATCCTACTTATATCTGTCCATATCAAGAGCAACCACCATACAAGAACTAAGCTTTTTAAACTAAATGCAGTCGATTTAGACGGAAAACTTCTCTTTCAGTTTCTTTCATCGAACTAAATTAATTCTCATCACTGTACTAAAGTAATACTTATAACTGAGTCTTAAAGATACATACCTACATATTGTTGCACTATAATTCCAAAGAAATTATCAACGTTTCTTATCATTTAAAATAATAAAGTGGAGTTGTCATATTCATCTTACATACTTTAGAACCAGGAAACTTTAAAACAATTATTCAACGTGAATTTAGGGGTTGTGGAGATTGTTAAGTTTTTGATTGAGATCATGAACCGATTGGTGTTAGACCACCATTGAAAACCTGGAAGCACTGCGCGGCCGTTTCGTCCTATTGTGGGACTCCTCAGGGGTACGCATCCACGATCCCGCTCGCTATATTCGAACCTAGGGCCTTCAGTCTCGTGCGCGAACGCTTGACTTACTGGACCACTGAGCCGACATCGAATGGTGATAGTGTCTAACATCAACCAATCCACGAAGTTGCGCGACCACCTTCCATTTTACTGAGGTAGACACCTGTTTCTGCCCAACATGGATTAGCTCCACTGGTCACAGCTTCTCACCAGGAGTCCCACAATAGGATGAAATGGCCATCCAGTGCTTCCAGGTTTTCAATGGTGGTCTAACATCAATCGTTTCATGATCTCAATCAAAAAAATTATTCAATGAATTAATCCTGGACAATTGATTTTAATAGAACCTTAAACATTGTCTTCTATTTAATGGATAAAGAACAGAAAACTGTCTACTTTGGGTAAAATAATTACTTACTTATGCCTGTCAACCGCATTCGAGCATAGGCCATCGACTAGGATTCTCCAAACCATTCTGTCCTGGCTCTTCCTTCCTAGTTCTATCCAATTCTTGTTCAATCTTCGCATGTCTGTCTCCATTTCTCGGTGTAATGTGTGCTTTGTTCTTCTTCTCCTCCCTTGGACTTGAGGATTCCATGTGAGGGCCTGCCTTGTGACACAGTTGGGTGATTTTCTCAATATGTGTCCTATCCACTTCCAACACTTCTTCCTTATTTCTTCCTCCACTGGAATGTGGTTTAATCTCTCTCACAATAGCTCGTTGCTGATAATGTCTGACCAACGGATCCGAAGTATTTTGCGTAGACACCTGTTAATAAACACAATAAATCCAATAATTGAAATAGTTAATTTATTCATTGATTTTTTTCTATTTATTTTGGTTTCTTTTAGTCATTTACTGTTGGCAAAAATGATACTGATACTCGACATTCAGTTAGTAAAGCAGAAGAACGAGGTTTTACACTTTGGATCAATAAACGTTTGGGTCATGATGTAGAATTACAAGATGGAATTCTACCAGTTGATCCATCAGTTGATGGTCAATTATATCAACGATGTAAAAATGGAATATTATTGTGTAAACTCGTCAATGTGGCCAGTCCAAATACTATTGATGAACGGAGTATAAATAGAGGACCTAGTTTGAAAAATGTTTTCAATGTAAGTATCTGTATTGTTGCTATTGTTGTTATAATCATCGTCAATATTATACCATAATTGTACTAGAATAATTATATTTCATTTATTCATGAATATTTGTGAAAATCAGTGCTTACTACACAAATCTGAATCTGAATGAGTCGATCTAAGCTAGATCTCCATTGAAAACCTGAAAGTATTGGACGGCTATGACCATTTGAGTCCGATCTGTGTGGGTTCGAGACAGTTATCCACATCAGACAATGGTTGAAGGGTTGAGCATGACCATGGGTTGATTTAAGTTACACATTAACACCGCTGGATGTCGGTTCAGTGGTCTGGAGTTTAAGCGTTTGTACGTGAGACTAAAGGTCATGGGTTGGAGTCCTATGTATGGGATCGTGGATGAGCACTTCTGAAAAGTGCTAAACTAGGACGAAACGGCGTTCTCTGCTATTTCGCACGAGTTCTTTTCACATTAACTGAAATTTAGTGATTTTTATTCGTTAGAATCGATTTACAGAGATAACTTACGTTGATTCTATCATTTTCAGCTGACGGGATTTTAATTAATAGTTTGGAATGAAACTTTATTATTTACAATCCATTGTTTAACCAAAGTTGATTGTTTATATCAGTCAAGTATCATGTTGTGACCCTAAATCTTCTCAATAAAAAAGGTTAAAATTTGATACAATTAAATATTAAGCTAGAACACTCTACTAACATCGTCAGATTGTTTTCAGACTAAAACTTTCTCTATAAGTCCTCAATGAATGAACGTAGCTGCTTGGGGAAGAACTGTGACATTTTCTTTTAAAATTCGATGTCTGTTACTTCCATGTATGTGAGGTATTCTTTGGAATCTATAGTCTAGTGATCGAAGTCGCTTCACGATCACATTGCTACTTGATTGATAAAGTTCAGTCAGTACTAAGGATTAAATATTTGACAGACATTGATTAATGATTTTTTATAAATTCGCTTTGCTCCTCAAAAATTATGAAACAAACGTCAGTGTATGGTAGAACAACGGCTAAGTGATGAAGGGGTCTGTCTGCCAATCACGAGCTCTCTTGTTCGAGTCCCAAGTTACGTGTTTCACTTTGGGTAGCTAGATAGAATCATTAGCCTTGATACAAAATGTGCCTCTATACTGAGTACACACAACTTTACTAGTTGAGTTTTATCGTTTTCATAAACTTGATTATATCTGTAACACCATCCCTATGAACAAATTTATGATCCAGGAACAAAGAGATTAGTCTAATGAGCTGAAATTGTTTATTATATCTGATCAGATAGTTTGTAATCAGAACATATTGACATGAATGTTTCATACAATTCATTAAACCCAATGTTTAATCAATGTTTTATCTAAACAAACTACATTCATTCATCCACTATCATTTACATCATTCAATAAACACTGTCAAGGTCCCTTTTTTAAACAATGAATGATCTGTTTAGTTCAGTTTATCAGTTACAAGTCATAGTTTGTTAGTGTTGTTTGTTTTAATCAGATATGAATGTGAACAAGTATGATTGATCTATGAATTAATGGATTTCATTTTAGTTAACTCTTGGTTAAACTGATATTATTCGGTTAACATTCAAGATTACAGACAAATATCAATGTCAATACATTACCCGGATAGTTTATTTTGATTGAAAACCTAAACATTCGTTTACTTTAATGTTAGTTAGAATGAATTTACTATGAATATGTTTTAGGTTCGACTCATTACTAATCAACAACAGTTGTTCAGAACAATTAGTACCATTCATAAAGTATGTACAGACGATTTAGCGGTTGGTTAGATACAGTAGCTTTGTAACTGACCTGATGTGTGTAAGCAATTCAAAGTTTTGGGACTTGGTTATAGCGAATGATTTTGCGGTTTGATTCATTTGGATAGTAGAGTTTTTGATAAGTTTAAATTGTCGATGAGATATTTCACTCATTGAAGTCAGTTACGGCATCAACCGGGACACTAGGGTGTACAATAGACAGAAATTTTTTCCTAATACAGGATTCCTACTGAGTTTGTACTCACGACTTTCTAAGCGATCATGTACAAGATATTCGGTTTTTTCAATAAGTGTTTAACTATTTGATCACTTGATTTGGATCAAATGTTGGTGTGGATTTTTATTTTGAATAAATTTGTGAAATGACATAACGATCATCTTCAGCCAATGATGACAACTGTTTCATTCCTTAGAAGTTAGGATTCCAGATGGTGTTCAAAATCAGTGATTTACACAGTTCAAATTCTTGACAGTTTTTGTCATTGTTACTGTAATTTACAGTCTCAGAAACATGATTCTGTATGTCGTCAGATAGTATCAATGTCAGTAAGTTAGTCAGTCGGTAGATTTCTACAGAATTACCGAGATACCATTGTAGTTATCACTGGCTATTCTGTTTGAGATTAATTTTATGTCAAATAAGATGATCTGGCTTGAAGTCTACAGGTAATTATTGGGCTGATTATCCAACCAACACGCTATTTGAGTTGATATATGTCTAATTTTCAAAGCTACATTTAATAGTTTCAATGAATGTTGTTGAATGATCAATCAGTGTTCAGTTATAACAGAAATAGCTTAGTGATAATATTTCTGATTGTGATATTGAATGAGACAAGGATGAATCCTACAGCAATAAATGAAACCCTTTTACAGATATCTGACATGTGTAAACTAACAAGGAAATTAATGAAAACTACACTTCTTACTGATTGTATTCAGCTAGGTATTATGTAATTTAAGAGAAGCCATCATTAGTTCCCAGTAACTTCATTTTAAATGAACTTTAAATATTATTATTATTACATAAACGTGTATTAAGAAATTCATTATTCCATTATTTATTTCAGAAGGGGGTTTTTGTAGATATTATGGTAATTTCAATAGTTAAGATCATGAGTCAATTAAAGCTAGACCACCATGAAAAACCTGGAAGCACTGGATGGCTGTTTCGTCCTTAAGTAGGATTCTTCAGCAGTGCTCATTCACGATTTCGCCTCGCGAGATTTAAACCCAGGACTTATCAGTCTTGCGCTTCGAGGTTTTTCCATGGTGGTCTCGCTTCAACTAACTCATGATCTCAACTATTGAGAGTGTTTATTTTTTCATTTATTAAATAATTATCTTTAAAATAGAATTTTGTGAATATTATAGTAGATTTTTTAATAATTGAATTTATGAGTTGATCTAAACTAAATCACCATGGAGAACATTGAAGTACTAGCCAACTGTTTTGTCTCTAGTATGAAACTCCTCAACAATGTGTATGCCAGATTATCTGTTTGTGTTGGGGACGTTAGATCTCCAGAACTTACTTAAAAAAAGACCTAATTTTGTAATTTTATTTAGAAAATTTGAAGTTCTTTATTTCCGCACCAAAAGCGCTTATGTCATTTTCATGTTGTATTTCCCACTTGGGAAATATTTTAAATGTTATTGGTCCGTTGTGTCTTTTAGTATGCTATTTGGTAATTCTCCCCAAGAACGGTTTTGTACTGTATATATACGTTTTGAATTGTGTTTGTTATTATCGCTCGTTTCTGGTTGTTTTGTAGAATATACTTCCGCATTCCAAGCTTGAACTATTCCCACTAGTTAGCGGAGCTGGGATGCATCGATAGTTAGCTTACTGGTCTTTTGGTCACCGAGCCTTTGTTCTCGTTCACAGATTCAGTGAACTTGTGATAGCTTTAACCCTAGCAGTTTCATACTCATTCATTGAATCATTCATTTATTAAATAATTCATTTTATTTAAGAATACTTTTTGTATTCAGTATTATATACACATTAAACATACACACTTGACTGTCACTTATTCATTTCTATCGAGATATTCTTCTTTTATTGTGTATCTGTAATGTGTTATGAGTTGATCAATTACAGATTTAGTAAAGCATCATAAAAATGTGATTGTTACCAAATAATGGAAGTGTGCTGAATAATAATAATAATAATAATAATAATTATTATTATTATTATTATTATTATTATTATTGATTAGTTGGTTAAATTAGTTATCATATCATACTTATGGTGACAATTACTGTGAATGTACTGTTACTCTTATAGTGACACAAATGAAAGAGAACACGTACAATACAGATACATATGACATAGTTACACTTATATATGAATCAATAACTCTAAGAATGTATCTTATGTGTATATATATTTGTATATGTAAATGACTTGTCAACAGAGTAATGTGAAAATACACTACAAATAACTTAGTTTATTATCATGAATGACACTAATATAAATATGATATGAAAATCATGATAAAATTAATGAAATAATTACCATAGTTTGTTTATGATAGAAATACATCAATGAAGAAGAAGAAGAAGAAGATAGTAGAGAGTGTATGAATGAGAAAAGCCAAGTTATTTTGTATCATTTCTGTAATACCATTTAAGTAATCTCATTAAAATAAACTCGTTGCTATGCATATATATATCTATAGTTCGTGTCTATGTGTGAACATTGCTACTAATCAATAATCAAAGGTCAATATTAAAGAATTTCATAATAAATAACATAAAAAATAGTAATCTAAATGAAATCATCTTAAAATCTTTACATTATATTGAATGTTAGATGTGTAGAGATAGAAGGAATCGTCCGGTAACAATACAGATCATCTATTATATAAGATAATTTGATAGGTAAATACAACAAAGTAGATAATAGTTTCATAACATTGATGTATAACACATTAGAGCTATTTAGAAGTGAAAGATAGAATACGAATATATAGAATATGAATTATAGATAATATAATGAGTAAAGATGAATAGTGGCTAGCAGTGGAATCCAATAAGCGTGTTTCGTCCTATCAGGACTAAGCAGATAAAACGATAGCGTCTAAAGCGAACGATGTTGAGTTTGAGTCCTGGAAGGAACATCAACTATAGGATGTAGGCATATCCAACTGATAAGTCCCAAATAAGACGAAACGCGAGTCAAACTCGATTCCATTACTAGCCACTAACCATCTTTCCTTATAATGATTGTAAATTAAGGCAATATCGAGGCAATACGCACAGTATACACATATGCCAATGAGAGATTGATCATTTTCAGCCCTTAAACATCAACGGGAATATTCAAGTAACCAATACCAAATGACTTGACTAACTTGCTTAACCTAATATGAAATAATTTATGGTATGAAGGATACACCTAATGTTTAATTACAAAATGAAGAGAGCTTATCAAAAAAGTTTCCTTGAACTAATAAGCGTGACCAGTAAAGCTAATCCGTGTCAGCTAGAGATAGGTATCTACCTAAGTAAAATGGAAGATGGTCACGCGATTTCGTGAATTGGTTGAGGTTAGACATCACCACGGTTGGACGCGGGCCGGCTCAGTGGTCTAGAGGTTAAGCGTTCACGTGCACGACCGAAGGCTCATGGTTCGAATCCCATGGGGTGGTATCGTGCATGCACACTGCTGAGGAGTCCCACAATAGGACGAAACAGCCATTCACTGCTTCCAGGTTTTCAATAGTGTTCTAACATCAAACCGGTTCATGATCTCAATCAAAAACATAATAATCTTCACAACCCCATACTGATACGTCTTTAAAATTTCAATATTAATTTATCATATTGTGAACGTATTCTTCATTCAGCTCCACGATGTCATTTTCACTTTCTGTATCAGTATGTATACATAACTCAAGGAGTGGAATCGAGTTCACATATTAGATCATTCTAATCTGTTAGTGCATTTGTTCTTTTTATTTTTATTTTGACTATTAGGTTCATGAAAATCTTACACTGGCTGTTAATTCAGCTGCTTCTATTGGATGTTGTGTAGTAAATACTGGTCCAGAGGATATTATGCAAGGTAAACGACATATTGTTCTAGGATTAATTTGGCAATTAATTCGTCGTGGATTAATCGATACAATTACATTGAACAGACATAAAGAATTAATAGCTTTATTACATGATGGAGAAACTGCTGAAGATTTATCTACATTAAAACCAGAAGAATTATTAATGCGTTGGGTTAATTATCATTTACATCGAGCTGGTTGTGATAGACGTATAACAAATTTCAATTCGGATTTAGCTGATTCAGTTGTATATGCTCATTTAATGGAACAAATTGTTCCCATAGATAAACGTTGTAAATTAATGTCTGCTAGTGAAATTTTAAGTTCAACTAGTCGTCAAGAAAGAGCAATGAATGTATTGAATAATAATGAAACATTGGGTACACCATTTACACTATCACCAGAAGATATTTATTTAGCTGGAGAAAAGAATAATGATAATCGTGATCGTTTAAATTTAGCATTTCTTGCTACATTATTCAATATGTATCCAGGTTTAGATGCACGTCGTGATGATTTTATAGTAGAAGGTGAAACATTAGAAGAAAGAACTTATAGAAATTGGATTAATTCACTTGGTGTTAAACCATATGTAACTCATTTATATACTGATCTTAGTAATGGTTTAGTATTATTACAATTATTTGAAAAAATTAAACCTGGTTCAGTGGATTGGTCATTAGTGGATCAAGATTTTGATCCAAAACGTCGGTTATTTCAAGAAACAGGCAATTGTAATTTAGTTATTGATTCAGCTCAATCAATGAATATACGTTTTGTTAATGTCAGTGGTAAAGATATACAAAAACGTGATCGTAAATTAGTATTGGGCGTGTGTTTCACATTAATGCAAGCGTATATATTTAAATTACTTCATGAAGTAAGTTTTATGATTCATTTATATGTTAAGTTTATTATATAATGACTTACAATGATATTGAGATTGGATTTCTTCAAATCTACCCCTATACTAGGTGAAATGAACAGTCTAGGTAGCCTGTGGTTGAGTTTACGCGGTGCATTTCTTAACCATCTCAATGGATGAAGATTTATATTTCACGTTGTATCTTTTGTCTAATTTCAGCGTCCCTTACTTTCTCGTTACACGTAATTTATACTATTATAAACCATAGTTTACACTCCTACAGTAATTTTCAATTCAGTAAAATATTAAGAATGAAACCAACTTAATCCTAGAGAATTACCATCTACATATACATTTCATTAATCGATAGTCTTACTAATATATATTTATCCAACTAACTAATCAGTCAGTCAGTTACAACATAGGATAAGGCACATATATCCATCGGTCCAGGTTGTCAAACCTCATCAGTATAATAAGATGAACACCAAACTCATAGAAGTAATCACTTCAATGGTAGTAATGTATAAAAGAAACATTGTGTATGAGGATATAATACAGGATGAAAGAATTAGTTGGTAAAAAGAAACCCCAGAAATCAATTTCAGTCTCACGGTTTAAGGGAAGACAAAGAGTGTACATACCTACGCCATTGTGATCGATTCTGAGTCATGTCACCCAGTGTCTCCAATTATTGATAACGATAGTCACACGAACCCCAAACAAGTAGTCTGCATCTACCAACATGGCTCAGACTAGAAGTTAGTAACTTCAAGGGCTGATGCTACGCTTCGATTTGGATGCCCCCAACTTTCTTCCAACTGTCCTCAACACTAGTCAGCATTGCGTGTCGTGGTAATCGGTGTTCAGGCATACATAATGCGTGACCCAACCATCCTAGTGTATGAAGAATCACAACATTAGCAACTAATTCACCATTATTCCCTAATACCCAGATTCCAACCTCACTATTACATACCCGGTGATAATAAAGATTAAATGGTCAAATAACAAGTTTTATGAATTTTCATCGAAACTTCAACGAACAGTTTGGCTTCAAGTGTGTTAGAAACATTAAAAATGTAATTTTATGTATAATTCTGAACTATTTAAACTAAACTCTTCATTGAAAGATCCAACCATCATTAGGTAAGCAATCAATACTACATAAGAAAATGGAGATAGTTTCCAATAATCTAAAACTGATGTTTAGTCGTAGCTTTAGTCACCTCACAGTTAAACAAGATCAAACATGATTCTTCACTATTCAATTATTTATTCATGTTCATAGATTGATTCTGTCGATAGTATCAATATAAGCCATTTGATATGAAATAAAATCACAATATGAAGTACCATACTGTGTACGTTAATCAATATTGAATTTGAATGATTAGAGTTAATGTGTTTCACGTATATTGTAAGGCAAATGTATTGAAAACTGATCAATCATAGTACTTCCCAGAAACTATTATCGATTATTTAATCTAATCTATTGATGTCAACATGTTTACTCCATAACATCAACGGGTCAAATCTACAGTTTATCAAGAAGATTGACCACCATCAACTGTATGTCGGTGAACGAAATAATAAGAATTGGCATGTTGTTTAAACTAAGAAATATCTAATTCACTTGATATTGTTTTTATTTGAATCTTCCCATTGATGTTTTTGGACTGAAATTGATCAGTCTCTTATTGGCATATGTGCATACTGTGCATATGCCTCGATATTGCCTTAATTTACAAGCATTGTAAGCAAAGATGGATAGTGACTAGCAGTGGAATCCAGGACGCGCGTTTCGTCCTGTTTGGGACTCGTCAGCTGGATGTACCTGCATCTCAGAGTTGATGTTCACTCTGGGACTCGAACTCAGTACCGTTCGCTTCAAACGCCATCGCGTTATCCACTTAGCTACTGAGTCCTGATAGCCACTTGCTTGTGCAATGGGGTGAAGTTTAATTCACTTGATATTGTTTTTACTTGAATCTTCCCATTGATGTTTTTGGACTGAAATTGATCAGTCTCGTATTAGCATATGTGTATACAGTGTGTGTATTGCCTCGATATTGCTTTAAGTTATAAGCACTCTAGAACTCGAACCCAGTGCCGTTCACTTCAAATGCTATAGCGTTATCCATTTAGCTACTGAGTCATGATAGTTACTTACTTGTGCAATGGGGTAAAGTTTAAAGTCAATTGGCTTTGTTTACTTGAATCTTCTTATTGATGTGGCTATCAAAACTCAGTAGCTAAGTGGATAACACGATGGCGTTTAAAGCGAATGGTACAGGGTTCGTGTCCCAGAGTGAACATTAACTCTGAAATGCAGATACATCCAGCTCATTAATCCCAAATAGGACGAAACGCGAGTCAATCTGGATTCCACTACTAGCCACTGTACCTATTTGCTTAAACTGAATTATATTTATCAATGTCCGTACTAAAAACATGAATGCTTTGAAAATTATGTAAGCAGAATGATGAAAAATACAGAGAATATGTCCTAATGTCTGCTGTAAGTTTGGATAAACAATGTGGTTATGAGGTGAAAAGGAGATAAATGATGTTTGAAATATAGTTCAGGGTATACTGAAGATATCCTTAAGTTTCAAAGTATATAATGAAGGTAGCAATAAATTCAGACGTAAATGATAAACACGCGAGCGAGATCGTGGTTGCGCACTGCTGAAGAGTCCCACAGTAGGACGAAACGACCGTCCAGTGCTTCCAGGTTTTCAATAGTGGTCTAGTATCAATCGGTTCATGATCTCAATCAAAAAAACCTAATAATCTCCACACATACTAAATCAATAATAGAGGAACTGAAGTACTTCAAAGAGATTTTTTTCATATATGAACTTAATTAATGTAAATAGACTTAATGGAATTCATTTAATTATTAATCGACAAATTCCTTGTTGATTTCTATCTCGAACGTTACCATAATTAATGATGATAACTATTGTTACTGGTTATGTACCTTGACAATTATTTGTCTTCTAATGTCATTTAGTTTTGTATAATAACCGCTATAAATAACTCAGACTATAACTTAGGCCTTGTTCATATGGTATTTGAAGTTAATCTAAATATCCATTATATATATACAGTGTTACATAATTCAATTTGGACAGTGTACACTACTGTCGATAGATATAACTAATATGTATCATCAATCAAAAGTGAAATATCTGGCGGTAGAAGGTTAAGAAAATCGAAGAGAAGAGACTAAGAACAGTGAATGGTTGATGTGGAAACGAAGGAATAGTGAAGTATAAGATGATTAATTGACATTTTGCAAATGAAGTATTTACTGTATGGTTCACAGACTTTAATAAAACATTCTGTAATATTTTATTTTAAATACATTCAACTGTCTCTACTTGTGTTCTTGTTCATTACAATAGTACACACTGAATTACTACTTCACTATCATCATATTAGGAAACCTAATAACATACAAGTAGAACTTGACAACGGTTTGGTAAATATTTGTTCGTTTTTTTTGGCCCTATGTTTGATTGCTAAATAAACAACTACAGTTTACTTAGGTGAATAATGTGTTAATTGATGAATGAAGTTATGGAACCCATGTAAATTCAATGCCTACGTTTAAATGTGTTGATATGTAGATTACGTAGTGAATTTATGTGACTCATATCAACAAATACCATGTATATAATAATTCATGTATTTGAATACAAGCTAATAAGTGATCAATAAATATGAATAAACACCTTCTGGAGAATACACGAATGCTAAGGTTAGCTTTCATGGTACAATGATATAACTCCAGTTAGATCACCCTGGTTTGCAGCGTATGACGTCACTGACACGCAGCTATGTATATCGATCATTGATGGATAAGGACATTTTGTGTGTCTCGAAAAAATATACAAGATGTGAACAAACTGCAAAACTGCCACCGAAATTACAGTCATCTCCATGGCCAAGTGTAGAAAAACCATAGTCCCGTGTTAACGTTGATTTTGATGGGCTAATAAACGGTCAAAACTTTCTTACTATCAACGACTCAATTACAAAATGGCCAGAAATTTATTTAATGCCTCGCACCTCATTGACCTTACCAAAAACGGTTCTGAATAGATCTTTCAGGCAGTTTATTTTTTCGGTAACAGTAAATACAGACAAGGGATCTCACTTCATATCAGAAATCCTCTCAAACTTCCATTTAAAGAACGCGATTACACGCATTCTGTCATCGCCCTACCATCCCAGTCAAAAGGCCTAACTGAGCGTTGCGTCAATACCTTCAAGCGAGCTCTCATCAAGTCACGAGGGGAGGGCGCAACGGAGGAGGTCATCCAGAATTTCTTGAAGTCACACAAAACAACCTCGAATTCCGCCTCACCTAATGGTATCTCCTCTGCTGAATCAATGTTCGGAAGGAAGATTCAGACTTCATCGGATAGAGTGTATTCACGATTAATAAGACGGGACTATAAACCCAATTGGCAGAGATTTAATGGCAGTTTCCTAATGAGTTACCAGTATTTGTAAGAAACTTACCACATTGGGGATCAACATGGGTAGCAGACGTTATCGTAAGAAGAATAGGTGAAATAATGTACGAAGTTGATGTTTGAGGTAAGCGCCTGACGCGACATGAAAATGGCATCCTTAGCAGACGATTAAATTCAGACAAAGGACCTCCTAGCTCGAATCTGAAACTAGATTATCAGATCGATACAGTCAACGAAACCCATCAACACTTTCAGTTAAATCCAGTTTGCAGGACTTATTTTTCAGAAGGGGAAGGTTATATGGAGAGTTAACCAGAAGTAGCCTAATAAGAAGGTCAATCGATAGCAATCAGAACTGACCCAGAGGTGAAGTGCATTTCCTTGTGGTTAAAATGGGTCAATTTCTCAAGCATAGACTAGTATATATATATGAATAATTATTTGTGAATTTCATTCAGTGGTTCAATACACTTTTTCGCTCACTCTTGTGTTTTCGTTCAAGTAGTCAATTGTGGGGGTTATTGCGTAGCATATCATGCATCAATATCAGATTTTGGGACACTGCACATCACAATAATATAACCATTTAAAACTCATTTTATCCATTATGTTTTATAAGTAGATAAATTAATTTATATTTCACTGATTGAAATCATGAGTCAATTGAAGCTAGACCATCATGGTAAACCTGGAAGCACTGGACGGCCGTTTCGTCCTAGTATGGGACTCCTCAGCAGTGCTCATCCACGATCGTCGCACCCACGAGATTCGAAACCAGGATCTATCAGTCTCTAAAATTTCCACTAAACCCCTTCTGATAATTCATATTTATTTATTTATTTTAGGTTACTTCAGGTGGTATCGATATTCCACATGATGATCGTGATATATTAACATGGGTTAATGGACAAATGAATGAAGCTAAAGCTAAACCAATTCATAGTTTTCGAGATCCAGCATTAGCTACTGGTATACCTATATTACAATTATTAGAACATATTAAACCTAATTCAACAAATAAAGAAATATGGTTAGGGAATAATGTAGATGATGCATCTATACGTCAATATGCTATATCTTGCTGTCATAAAGCTGGTGCTCGTGTATTCACATTACCGGAACATCTTGAAGAATTAAATGGTAAAATGATTTTAACATTATTTGCTTCATTACAATTATTATATTATAATTTAAAACAAAAAGCTGAAAATAAACATAGTCGTACGAAAAATACAGAATTAAAATGGTTAAAATTAAATGAGGACAATAAAATTAATGGAACTGAATAAGAAAGAAAAACAACAACAACAACAACAACAAAAACAACAACAACAAAGAGAACTATTCATCATTAATCTTCAATGACTATTAGTTTCTTTTCTTTTCTTTTTTTCTTTTCTTTTCTTTTCCTTTCTCTTTTTTTTTAAACATTCACATGGATATTGTAATTCATATTCATTTTGAAAAAGAAGAAGAGGAGGTGGAGGAGGGAAAAAACTCAGTCTCTTTGTTGTTAACGGTTAAATGAATCAAATTGTTTATAGCAGAAAAAAGTGTTTTTTTTTCATTTTTCTCTAAAAAAAAAGAAAAAAAAAGAAAACTGAATTGATTTTTGATGGAATATTCATTTTAGTCAAGACATACCTTTTTTCTCTTTTTTGGGTTTTGGTTACTTAGAGAACTTGTTTAATTGGATGTATCTCATTGTTTAGTAAATGGAATCAAATGAGTTAAATCACTTACTTGTTTGATATGTAACCTTCTTTTGTTTGTTTTTTTGTTTTTTGCTTTTTTTATTCTCTCCAAAAAGTAAAAAACTTCATTTGAATTGCTTTGATAAACTAATTAATCAAATAAATTATATATTTTCATTAAGCAAATGATTCAATGTTTTGAGTATAGGAGTTGTGGCGAATGAAATCATAAATCGATTGATATGAGACCACTATTGGACACCTGGAATCACTGAACGATCGTTTCGTCCCATTGCGGGACTCTTTAGTAGTGCGCATTAACGATCCTGCTCACGCGATTCGAACCCAGAGCTTTCAGTCTGGCGTGTGAATGTTTGACCTACTGGACCACTGAGCCGGCATCCAATGGTGTTTCATGCAATTAGTTCTTTTTATGAATTTAAATAAACCCAGAACAAATATCGATGCAGAATAATGTGAATTCATTATACTTCGTGGTTTCTCATCAGCTGATTATAACCACTGATATGTATAAGAATGTTACATTGAGATAAGAAATAGTTTGGAACAATTGACATATGTCAATGTAAAAGACTGGAATGACAAAAGGTTATCAATGATAACGATATATATATATATATATATATATATATATATATATATATATATATATATATATATATATATATATGCAAGAGCAGGTCAGGGGTGTTAGAATAGAAGAAACATTAAGGATGGCTGGTGTAATAGTGGAGTTCGGAGACAGATAAGGTAAATTATGTGATAATTATAGAGGTAATAAAGAATTTATGGAGTTAAAAAATTGGTGAGTTGGGTTACGTAGTAACTGAATAGAATTTGAATAGTTCACATAATTTAAGAGAATCAAGTGAGCGGAAATGTGTAAGTGAAAGGGTGGTTTAAGAATTCGGTAATGGGAGAGGAATAACGAAAAAACAACAAACACACAAAAATGGGATTACCAGGGTAGTAATAACTTTATGACTGTCTCTTTTTGAATACATACACTCTATTGAATCGGGCCATACAATTGAGTTCAATGGCACGAGAATCATTTAAAAAGGCTTTAATTCTTACAAAGAACGACTAACAGCCGAAGCCCTACATATATTGGCTAATTCATACAGTATTAATAGGAGAGATGGAATACAACTAGCTGTCCCATGGCAACTAATAATTACTAATTCACATGATATTGTTTTACTTCAATCTTCCCATTGATGTTTACCACTGAAATTGATCAGTCTCTTATTGGCATATGTGCATACTGTGCGTATGCCTCGATATTGCCTTAATTTACAGCATTATAAGCAAAGATGGATAGTGGCTAGCAGTGGAATCCAGGACGCGCGTTTCGTCCTGCTTGGGACTCGTCAGCTGGATGTACCTGCATCTCAGAGTTGATGTTCGCTCTGGGACTCGAACTCAGTACCGTTCGCTTCAAACGCCATCGCGTTATCCACTTAGCTACTGAGTCCTGATAGCCACTTGCTTGTGCAATGGGTTGAAGTTTAATTCACTTGATATTGTTTTACTTGAATCTTCCCATTGATGTTTTTGGACTGAAATTGATCAGTCTCTTATTGGCTAAGTGGATAACGTGATGGCGTTTGAAGCGAACGGTACTGAGTTCGAGTCCCAGAGTGAACATCAACTCTGAGATGCAGGTACATCCAGCTGACGAGTCCCAAACAGGACGAAACGCGCGTCCTGGATTCCACTGCTAGCCACTATCCATCTTTGCTTATAATAATTACTAAGTAAACCTGAACTCCTTATTCCATTTGATTTGTCTATATCATATTAACTAATCAATAGATAATACACTCAACGGTTCAAATCAGTTATCTTATCTGAATATGTTATACAATTGTCGGGGACATTAAAATAACACAAAATTTCCATTACAAATACGTTCCTCATTGAATTCAGTCTTTTATCTTGTTTACTAATCTTGTTTCACAATTGATTAATCACTGGGTGGCGATCATCGTCATCCGTGTCTAGCCCTTATTAGTGCAGATCGAATGCTATCGATCATGTTGCAATGTGGCCAACAGTCTAGGTGACTCGACACTGCGGGCACTATGTATTGAGATTTAGATGGTGGTTGGAGGTAGTCAACAGGAAACCTTGGACCCGGGTTTCGGGCTACTTGGCGCTCGTCAGAAAGGTGTACCTGTAATCTTGAGGGAACTGGTACTCCCTGACGGATTCGATCTCGTGTCACCCAGTTTCACAGCCGCGGCCGACCTCCTGTAGGACTGAGATGTAATCACAGTTGATTGATCACTGGGTGGCGATCAATGTCATGCATGTCTAGTCCTTATTAGTGCAGATTGAATGCTATCGATCATCTTGTTTATTCATTTTCATTTAATGCATGCTGTGACATTTTTAATTCATTTCATATATAAAATGGTATGGTTTCTTAATAAACACAGACCGAAGACAATATATAGTTGAATGAAATTTCTTCTCACATCACTTACGTATACACATAATCTCTTACTTTAACACTTCGTTTCACACTACATATCTCTTACACAATAATGTAAATACCTACTTCAAACATTGTACACGTTGACTGGATGACTTATTCAGTATGTAGTAAACCAGAGAACCATGTACCTATTTATATTTGATAATTTTATTGTTTGATTATATTTTCCTTGAAAGGGTTTGGACCAGATTGCCAGGCAGAACGTTGGATGTACTTCAAATTCTTTCGCTGAAATTTTACAAATTTATATTCTTCCTTTTTGATGTCATCCATAGATCCGGTCTAAGTTTTTTATCGCGATCACTTCAGCGAAATGGAGAGCAGCCGTACTTCTTTGTCTCCTAATAATTTTAAAAGCCTGAGAGATATCAATGGTATGCTCGGTGTCAAATAAGTGCCGAGCTATTGCACTATTGAGAGCCCTAGTCCCTCGCAGCCTTAATTTCTTTGGAACATGCTCGGAAATGCGAACACGTAATCATCTCTCGGTTCTTCTAATATGCAAACCACGAAATATAATGAAATAATATTAATTAACATCAATATTTGTTCTGCTTTCATTCAAATTATTATAATAACTAGTGCAGTTTTTGAACATATTCTATTGCTGATACATAGTCGTTAAATCTATCGACATTAGCCCCCAAATGTTCTGGTACGGACGACGGTGGGGAAATTCAGCTCCCCCTCGATTAATACTACACATGAACACGGGTATACAGCCACTGACACGAAAGTCCTACTCACTGCCTTCTCATAGCACCGGTGTTGTTTGCGAAATTGAGAGAATGAAAAAAGAATGTTCGGCGCATTAGACGGGTTAGTGGATATTGAAGGACCCACCTAGGAGATTTGGAAAAATCTGATTCCAAACAAATGGTGCACATGGGCTCCACCATCCTGAGTGAACGAATAGCGTACGAACCAATTGTTGGTCAACGGCTACCATGAAACTGAATCTCCCAACATTGCTTCACTACCTTGTGAATCAGACTCTCAGGTCGAAGGATCCGAGTGTGGTCCGCTAAGAAACCTACCTGCTTCGGTCTGGGCACCCAATTAATGTCAATATCACAGCCCACACACAAATTAAGTGACTTGTGTTGTGTATATGTATCTATTCCCCCTTTGTACCAATATTTATGTGTTCAAATAAATAAATAATCATAGTTCAGCAGTTAAGTTTTAAAGTTGTAACTAACTTTTCAAATATTTTACTCAGTTGAGATTATCAACACTCTGTTAGTTATTCATATGTTTGTAGTGTCAGTTATTATGTGAAGTCCATATACCTTATTCTAACTTTCGAACAGCCCAATCTATTCATTCTAATTGAGTCATATTTTCACCTTGTTAATCATTCGCTTATCAGTCTTGATTGTTTTTTTATATGAGCGTATATGTGTGTACATTTCATATCCCATATCTCATCACATATCTGTAGTTTATTTTGACTGCCTATAAATATTGAGTAACGCCTGGCTAAAAAATGAGTTGCCTTACCAGCCATCTCCACAACTGCGCGGCATTTTGCTTTGATCTAATACATTCACTTTACATACAAAATATATGTTTACGAAAGTCCATTCTCGTTAATTGACTCATCTAAATTCCGTTATTGACTAACGTGATATAAGTCGATGATTGTATACGAGAACAGGCGACATATATAATTGAACAACATTCATCATTACGATCTAAATGGAGTCAGATCTACGGGCCCTCTAAATGTTTTTCAGTTAATGACTTGTCTACCGTTTTGTTAAAATAGAGCGTAAAATATCTGTCTTCCTACACAGAATAATAAAAATAATAATCCCTCTAGACCTGTCAAGAAGAAACACTACTTCAAAAAATCTAGGTAAATAACATACTTTCATACTTCTTTAATATGAATGAAATAATCCTTGATGATCAATAAAGATTATTATGATTTTATTATTTGAATTCATCAGTCAATTGTAGTTTGACCACCATGGAAAATCTGGAAACAACGAACAGTATTTTTGTTCTAGTATGTGACTCCTCAACAGTGTACATCCATGATCCCGTCCCACGAGATAGTGGACAGTGGCATGATTTTGTGGATTGGTTGAATTTATACATTAACACCATTCAATACCGACACAGTGGTCTAGAGTTTAAACATTCGTGCGCGAGACTCATAAGTCCTTGGTTCGAATCTTGCGAGGCCGGATCAGGGATATGCACCCCACCCTCTTTGATTATTATAATTTTGTGAAATACAGAAAATACACGTATATATTTACTTATTATTCATAATCTAAACATTGATCTAGAAAGTTTTCAAAATCAAATTTTCTGCCAAAGAAATTTTAATTTCTAAACCCTAGAATTAGATAATACCGATTACATTCTTATTACTACTGTTATTTAATAAATAACATCAAAGAAAATATTTGGAAAGTATATTCTGTTTCTATAATACGTGGTATTCATATTTATTCAGAAAAAAAAATGTATCTCAATTATGATTAGCTGTTTTCACATAGTTGACAGATAGAATATATAAATTGTAACTAAGCTATAGTTTCTGAAATTACTGAAGTTCACTTATTATATTATGTAAACAGATTACTGGAACCAATAGAGGTATATTGTGTTGACAGAATAGTAAATATTTAACTGACTTTGTAATACTGT